TCGTGTTCACAATCTCAACGAAGTGAACGTGAAAGAAATGTTTGCGTCACATCGCAACCACAAAATCATCCGGGGGTTATTGTGGTGCCCGATGATAACGATGCACCCACAATCCACAATCCGAATCCGCGCGCTTACCTTGCTAGATGGTTTGACGATGCGAAGAAGGTTGGCATCCAAAATGTTTTGACTAAGGTGTTTTTTGAAATGTTTGTCAAAAGTGTCACAATCGTAAAAGATAGACGAATATGGGACAACTTCCTGGAGTGAAAAATAAACAAACTCACTTATATACGGTTGAAACGATGATTCTCTCTTCCATCAGACCTGTTGAATGTTTCGGATTTGAAGGCTTCTTCCATATTGCAATCACTTTTTACCGATGAGTTTGTGACTCTCTGTAATGAGAATATTACGATGATTTCGTGACTGTCTCTAATGAGAATATTACTAGGATGACATTAGATTTGCCACATTGTCCGACAGAAGAGACCATTCTCCAACCCTTTTACAGATATGCACGGATACAGCAACTTCTCAAAAAAATTCCTCCAGTGGTTGTTTTTTTCACTCCTCATTCTGCTCCGGTCCGTAGACTCCCCCTTCCAGTAGCATCTCCTCCAAATTTTCAACGTCTTGCGGATTATATTTCACCCTCCAATATGTCAAAGCCGATTGTCACTACTTCTGTTATTGTTTCTGATTTGCCGGCCGCTACGGCTACTCCGTCTGCTCTCAGTTGTAATGTGCTCGCTCATACGCCATCAAGAGACCATCTGCATGTCCATACAGGACCAATAGAACAACCAAATTCTTCTAATTTTAACATCATCATGTATGACTCTGTTGAATCTATAAGTCCGAAAAAGACATTTGATCCTATCTTGGCAGTTCTCACTGCAAGATATCGTGGAAGCAGCAGCGAAATTGAATACGAGTACGGACACTTGAAAATGTGTGGATGTTGCAATTCATCTCGATTACAATCGGCAAAGACAGACTCGATTCGAAACTTTCGAGGAGTATCGTCGCAAAGTGTTGCAACGAGTTTTTGTTTGTGAGTTGTTGCAAGAGTATCGTTCCAGTGAAGGAAGTTGATTGGTCTTATAAGAGAGATAGGAAGACAAAAATGTTGATTGGGCGTTTATCCGGGCATTGCCTTAATGAAAAATTTTTAGATGGTCGTCTTCAGTTTCATTTACATAATTGTCCCTACAAGAAAGATGTGAAAAAAAAGACAAATAAATAAGGGAGAGAGAGAGAAAAAAAAAAAAAAAAAAAAAAAAAAAAAAAAAAAAAAAAAAGGAGAGAGAGAGATGACTTAAATAATTTTGACGTAATACTATTCCGCTTTTTTAAGTCAATATTGACTCCACTACGCAATAATTGTGCCCTTGATCATACTGCGACCATCTATTTACTTAAATAAAACGAAATATCTGCATATCAAACTTTTTTTTTTTTTTACTTGTGTTCGTTTTTTTTAAGGGGAAATTTGTCTGGTGCCCCTGTATTTTTCATTAATTTGCGCCGCGCCCCTCCGACATTCGATTTACCCTGCCGCGCCCCTCTAACGAGCAGTGAAATCTCCCATACAACCCTAGTGTCGTTTGGGCCTCATATATTTTCGTAGTGCCTCTATCGGGATCCACATTAAATTTGCGTTCTGCCCCTACCGGATAGTCGTTGGGTAAATTTTCGATATGCCCCTACCGATACCAACCATCTTTTCAGTGTGCCCCTGCCGCCGTTGGAGGCACTCAGGAAAATTTCCAACCGGCCTGAGAGCGAGCTACCGGGGCATGATAGAAATTTGTGAGTGTTCTCATATTTCTGCCACGCCCCTGCTTGTGTACAACGACAGCAGGACATTATGGCTAGGTAATTTCGCGTGTCTTGCGCCTTCCCTGCGATGCACATTATCTTCGTGGATAGTGTCTCTCTCTCTCTCTCTCTCTTTGTTCCGTTCTTACCAGCGAGTGACACTGGTGGATTTCTTCTTGCTGAACATCTCTTTCCGATTGATTCGGGCCCTCTCATCACCATGTGATGTGCTATAGCGGCATGACAGCAGCAGCATGATAGTAGGGGCGTAGCTTCGTGGAATGACAAACAGATAGTCTCCCTCTGGAAAACATTGAACACCTTGTTGTTCAAAACATTGATTTCTTGAATGTATCTGACTGGAATCATTTGTGAAGATGCAGTTGAAAGAGTTGTGGTACGAGTGTGATGTGGATGACTCTAACCCGATACTTGGTAAGTTGCTTAGCTAGCTTTCTATCCATGTTTGGGATTGCATTTCATTCATTGATGCGAACCAAACATTTCATGCTTTCATATGTGCCTTGGACATGATCCACATACAGACCCGCATGAAATTGAATCGGTGCTGCCACAGGATTGACGGACATGACAGTTTCATGCGTTAACTGTAGGTGTCAGAGAGCTTTTGGACACCTTTTTTCATGTTACGATCTTTCCCCGACACACAACGCACAATCAGTATGAAAGTATATACGCTATCTTTGTAGCATGAAATGAACCCTTAGATACAGTCTGATTGCCAAGTTTGTGCAGCGTATAGCGTCCTATGTGACGCTCTGTGGTGGTCCAGGTTGCTGAAGATCTCCACGTTTGAGTGTGCTTTGTGATATTGCCTGTGGGATGAAAAATCAACAGGAAAGTGGGATATCGGCAGTTCCCGTGAGTGCAATGAACCTCAAAGTTCATCACACCAAGGAGTGCTCACATCAGCATGCATGTCAGGCAGATTGCACTATCACATATTGCACAGGTAGATGATGATTAGTAGACCAGGAAGCAGAGCTAAAATTTCACAACCACAACGCTCAACAAAATTACAAGTCTTCTTCGAACAGCAAGAGGATCAACTCTGAATACATCTCACTGATCTACTTCTACTAACACACTAACTCTACTGCATGATAGACCGCACCGACTCAAAAATTTGCAGTTTCAGTTCGTAACAATTACAACAAAGGAGAAAGAGAGAGAGAGAGAGAGAGAGAGAGAGAGAGAGAGAGAGAGAGAGAGAGAGAGAGAGAGAGAGAGAGAGGGTTGGACTGCATCGATTGATTGGGCGAGTGACGGAGGACATCGACTGAACATTGAGTTCAAATTTTTGTATTTGAATGAAATTTGGTCGATCAAGAGTCGGCGGCAGGATATTGCTAAAAGCTTAGTGAGGGGGAGGGGCGGGGGGGGGGGGGGGGGAGGGGGAGGTGATGGAGGGAGAGCTAGGGTAGGAGAGGGAAGGGGGTTAACGTCTCGGATGCCGAAGGAAATCGGGTTGGGAGAGCGAATTGAGATCGAGATGGAGGAAACAAGCGGGATCAAAATGGTTGAGGAGCGCGACGGTTGTTAGACAGTCTACTGGGACCACATCCTACTTGGTCACGTTACACGTGGCTGGCGGGGAATGCTGCCACGACAGACTCGACATGCGCGTAGGACGTAGGTGTTGGACCAAAGTCCGATTCAATCCGGTACTGCTTCCGACGTGGACAAACTGCGTAACATCACTTTGCTTTCATGAATAATTGGATATTACGCACGACAAAAAGATGACCAAACATGCTGATGTGTCAATCAAGCATCGGATAGATCATGATCCTGGCAGCAATGATGTACGTTGGCAACAACAACCTTCTTTGGTTTAATCGTTCGTACGTTGGTTAATTGCAAGACGTGCTAAAAAACCGACTCACAATCCCGACCGCAACAACGCGCCTATACCTCTCGCCTTCTTCCTCCCTCCCCTGTTGATGCTCCTGCTCCATCTCCTACCCTCCTACTGCTGCCCGCCCACCCTCTCTCTACCATTAATAATGCCACGTGCCATTCCCTTCTGCCGGAGTCCCATCTCTACATCTCTGCATTTTGAGTCTCATCTCTACATCTACGCCAAGAGCTAAGGAAAGGCGTGAGTGAACAGCGACTAATGAAAATGAAGATGGTGGCCGACACTCACCTTGCGACGCGATCCGGTTTCCAGCAGGAGGTTGGCCTCCACGAGCGTCGGCGCGTCAAGAGAAATGGCGGCGGCGCGTCAAAAACTACGGCGTTCGAAATTGAATTCAAATTTCCACCGCCTCACTGTTGCAAGGGCAGCACAGGAAGATGGGTGCCCCTTACGAGGGCATATGGCGCAGAGCCCAACGGAATGGGACCGCCAGCTGAGGGAGGGCGTCCTGGAAAGTTGCGCCCACTACCGACAGGGGCCTGCCGGGAAGATTTTCAGGCCCAGGGGCGCGGCAGGGTAAATCGGATGTCGGAGGGGTGCGACGCAGGTTAATGGGAAATACAGGGGCGCCAAACAAATTTTCCCTTTTTTTTATTCTTTGCTCTTTCGTTGCCCCTCTCTCTCTCTCTCTCTCGCTCAATATATCTCTCCATCTCTCTCTCTCTCTCTGTGTCTATCTATGGTTCTATCCTTCTCTATCTGTTTCTTTTTTTTTTCTTTCTTTGTCTATCTCTGTCTCCCCTCGCCCTTTCTCTTACTTTTTTTTTTCTTTTCTATTTGTCATTTTTTTAATTCATGAATTAAATTCGAACTTCGTAGCCAGTTACTCTTATTTCTATGAGCGTGGCCCACACCGCACCGCACCGCGGGCGCTTAGCTAGTAATATCTCAAGGCCAACAGAAAAAAAGACATTGCACCCCTTAGCAGGCCTATCTTTGGGCGTCTGTCTGCTTCCACATCTCCTGGGTTGTGCGAGAATGTCACGATAGGGGTCCTGCCGCGGTCTCGTCGCTGGGGTGGTAGAGGAACATCGAAATTCTTGATGCACCTATGAATGCTCTTGGTTCTTGGGCGGTTGGGACCCCCATCCGCAAACGGGGTCATCGCAATTGGCCACAGCAAACCCGCCGAACCATGCAGGACGTCTTGCCCGTGGGAGGAGCGGACCCCTCACGCGTTCGGTGGCCGGTAAATGGGGCGGTCTCCTGCTGATGTAAATCGTAGCTAGACACTGTAGTGTGGTCCTTTCGCGTCCGAAGGGTGGGGAGCCGCGAACGCGGAAAGTGGAGCGCGAGCGTCGTTTGCAGAGGTGAGTGCTTTTCGCCGCTTTGTTCACATTTCCACCGATTCGTTCCGCCATAGCCGTTATCTTCTTCTCAGCCGAGTAGAAGCTTCGTCCCTCGAGCTTATCTGCGCGACCATGTGGAATGTTTTGATGTGGACGAAGGTGGAGTATGGACAACTGGAAACAGGATTCCGAGGGTGGCGGCAAGTAGGAAAACAGGGTTTCAGTGATGAAGAAGAGAAAGGTCGATGATTGCGGCGGCTATGGTTGTCACCGAGCTCGCAGCAGAAGGGCGGCGATGGCTGCATGAAGTTGTTACGGCTGTTGGAAGGAGAACGCAAGAGCTGTCTTGTCTGTGTGCGAACACTGAGGGAAGAGGGACGAGAGTTTGGAAGCGGTCTACAAGACGCTGCTGCCCAGTCAGGGGTGTATGTTGGGAGTAATTGGCAGGAAAGGAAGCTGAGTACTGGATAATCAAGTGATGAGGAGGCGGGAAATGTGTGTGCAGGCGGGAAAGTCGCAGAAGATGACGGTGTCGCGAGGAAAGCCCGCTAAGGCTTTCGCGAGGAAGGGTTGTTTCTGGGATGGACATCAATGAAGGCGGCGGTGCCGGTGACTGAAGGGGATGGTGCCGGCATAAGGATGAGTGAAGCTTCTGAATATTTCGTTTTTTGTTTTTGTTTTTTTGGAGGCGTGCTAAGTAGTGCTTTGCATCTACGGATTTCAGAGAAGGCGTGCTAATTATGTCTTTTTGATGCATGTTTTCTCCGGATCGGGTTTCTTGGTTCGATGCAGGTCTTATAAGGTGCAGCCACCATGTCGTTCACCGCCAGGAAGAAGATTCAAAAGGAGAATAATCAAGAACCAGATGAATTCGAGGAGTCTGTTGCGCAGGTGGGCGTCCTTGTTCCCTGGCACTCCCTGGGGCGTATGTTACTCTCCTTACATCAGCACGTCCTAAGATGCATTTGACAACAGCTCAGGCCAGATGAGGCGGGAAATGTCTAGGTGTGATTGTCGTGATGCCTTATGGGTGAACACCTTAGGGGAAACTCTCACCCCAATACACCTAGGAGGGGTGTATTTGACAGTAATTCAGGCGAGATTCTGGAAATGTATTAGTGTGTGTGTGAAGCCTTATTGGCTAGCGAACACCGAACGGAGGACTGACACCCCGGCACAACTTCAAGGATGTATTTGACAGCGATTCAGGCTAGGTTAAGTTCGGAAATGTGTTGGTGTGATTGTCACAGACACGCTGTTGCAGGCGACGCGTGAATATCCTTTTCAGATGAATCTGGCAAGATGCCTGAGTGCCCGTTGATGACTGGAGGGAAGTTCTGCAGGAGGTAGTAACGAACGAGGTGTCAGTGGAGGGGAAAGGAGGGTGTGGAAAAAGATCGGGGTTTGTGGAAATTGACAATAGTGGTTGCATAATGGCTGTTTCTTATTAAATATGGGTGTTATGGTGAGAAGAGAAGAGGTGCTTGACTTGGGAGAGACGAGGGGCTGGACTTCGGCGAGTAGAGGGGCTTGACTGAGGAGATAACAGGGGCTGGACTGAGGAGGTTAACAGGGGCTGGACTGAGGAGGTAACAGGGGCTGGACTGAGGACAGAAGAGGGGCTGGATTGAGGAGTGAAGAGGGGCTGGATTGAGGAGAAGGGGTGCTGGATTGAGGAGAGGAGTGGCTGGATTGAGGAGAGAAAAGATGCTGGATTTAGGAGGAGAGGGGCCGGATTTAGGAGAGGAGGAGCCGGACTGAGGCCGGATGCTGGCTGCAGTCAGTTGTGTACGATGGGGGGCCCAGGGGGAAGGAGGGGTTGGAATAGAAGTAGCAATGGTGGAATCGGCATTGGCGGAGGATGGAGCAGATGTCCACCGGGCATTGCGGGGCGCGACGCAGCGCAGCGCATCGTGGTGCAAGCGTCGTTAGGTGGGAGGTTGGTGGAGGCAATGGGCGAGTGCGGGATAGGATGGGAGAAGGATCGATGGAAGGAGGAGATGAGGATGAGTGACGGTTGTGGGAGAGGCGAAAACGCAAGTGAATAAGAAAGTAGAGGAGACGTAGGCGGGTCTCGGTGGAGCCAGGAAACGCTCTGGGGTTGTAGGGGGCTTATGATTTTGCCGCGCAGGGGACGAGGCGGCTCTGAGTTGTCGAAGGATTTGACGGTGTGACAGGGTGGCGAGGTATAGAGGTAGGCTAGGCACTTATAGGGGTTGGCGAAGCTGGTTGGAGGGAGTGCTTTGCGGGCGGAAGAAGTGGTCCAGAATTGACAGGTGCTCACTCTAACACGACGGGTGGAGGCAAGGGTGAACGTAATCTCGGAGGAAAATAGCGACCTTGAAGGAACAGTTTGAGAGAAGGGCGGAGGGAGGGAGAGAGGGACATGGACCCCCGGATGCGGTGACCTTCTGATCGCGAACCTCGGCGGTGAATTAGGGTAGGGATAAGGACTGAGGCCCGGTAATATGATCCGGAAATGATGGCGATCAGTTAGGGCTCTTGGGGGGGCCGGGGGAGCTGCCAGAAGTTGTTAGTAAGGTCAGAAAACTACGGGTGCGGAAGGAATAATGCTGCACGGCTTCGCTGTTAGAACGACTCATGGGAGTGAATGCGGCTGGAGTTTCAAAGAAGAGCTTGATTGGGATTCTATTTCTTTTTCATTATTCGAACTGCTGAAGTCTTGTCGTCTGGCTAATTTTGATGTGATTATTTTATGCGTGCTAATCACGGAGGCACAGGCGGAACGAAGGGTTCGGAGAGGAAAAGGATGGCGAAAAGGAGAAGGCGATATGGTCAGATGGGTGGGAGTGCTGGCAAAGTGGGAGGTTGAGATTAACAGTGCGGAAGGAGAGCTCGAAGAGTGAGTGGACGGTGTGCTTTGATGAAAGGGACTGCTCAGAGGGACACAAATGCAAGAACACAGGGAACAGGGCAAATACAAGGACGTAGATGTAATCTGGGTGTAGGGGGAGACTGGAGCCACGGAAGGGAGGGGGAGGGATGTGGAGGGTAGAGTGCAGTGCGGGCAAGCGT